CATTGCCTCCCTGACCTTGAATCATTATCTTGGAATTCTTACATGTCTCCTCTTCCTAACATATCCTTCTTGTCTACCACTGGTCCTTCTCCCACTTTTCCTTCTATTTCTGAAGGTCCATGTCTCTAAACAATAGACTAATTTGTTCTCACCACAGTCAAGGTAGAGCTCAGTTTTGGAAACCTATCACTTTTTTTCTCAGAATGTGAGTTAATTTCTTTGTTATGATCCCATATCATCCTGTCCTTACATCTATATTACCAGCTATCAGCGTTTTGTACTTGCTTATTTACAAGTCCATCTCTCTCACAAAACTATGACTTCTTTAAGCAAAGAGGTAGTTTAGTGTTCTGGTTTACGTCCCCGGGGCCTAGTACCATCCCTGACATGGAACAACTGCTTATTGAAAGTTGTTCAGTGAACCTAGACACTTAAGAATTTTAAAAGGAAGTTGAGGACAGATATTCTCAGTGTTGGTCTATGACATAAGCCTACAATAATAAGGTAGGACCATTATTTTTCAAAGAATTTAGAGATTTTTGCCTTCCTTTCCTGGTACCAGTTAGAAATTGCTGGTACTAATGGTTAGAAACAAACTAGTTACAAGAATATATGAACTATGAGATGCACCTCCCACCCCCAAGAAGGCTAGATTTGTGAGGTGTTTCTCAGAAATATTAGCAAAAGCTGCAGCTACGAAAGAATGCAAAGAACAGCATGAGGCTAGAAAAATATGCTGCAAAGTGTATTGGTGTAATTAACATTGTGCTTTCAACTAATTAGCTGCATTTTAGCAGCTAAAATGTGATGTGTAGTAATAAAGACAATGTCAATCAGGAAAGGGTTATTTTTTAGGATGATAAAATCCTAGATTGACAGTGCTACAAGAAAATTAGAGATGAGTTATTCAACATATTTAATATAAGGGAATCCTGAAGCAAGGGAGAGAGAGTCATTTTCTTAGCTTACTGAAATGAGTGTAAATCAGAAATACAAATTCAAGTATATGACTTTTTAGTGCATGATTTTTATACCAGTCCCACTAGCCTTATGAACCCCAGTTCTACCCTCTTCATGCAAATAATATTACCTATATGAGTATGTTTTTGGATGAAAGGAATTGATTTCATATTCAGCAGTCCTATAGAATTGTTCATTATCTACAGAAATGATTACTTCTGGAATACTTCAATGCCAAATCCATGGAACATATGGCAGGGAATAGCACACCTGCAGAGTTTTTTGGCATAGAGTAGTGGGATCAGCAATGAAAAATGAACTCCAATGGCGTGACTCACACGAAAAGAGTCCTGGGAGCAGTTATCAGATGAAAAGTCACAAGTTTACTATATTCTTATCTTTGGCTCCACTTTGCTCCTAAAATGTTAAGTGAGAAAGTTGCCAGAACTGTTGCCAAGGTCTCAAAAATGAGTTGTTGACAAGCTGTGTCCACAAAAATTATTTGCTTATATCCCAGCCTCTGATCACAGGACAAGCATTAACGAATCAAGCAGGAAATGCCACATCCTTCCTCACCCAGAGGCTGTTCCTATGCACTCAGAGGAGGTGTAGGCAGCTAGGTGAGTCCAGTTTTAAGTACCCATTAAAGTACTTCTGGTGGAGCTGCCTAACTCCAGATCAGCACTGATCTGGGTGCACAAAATAAGATTCTAAAGAAGAATGAAATTTTGATAGTCGTTTCAATGTCAATATATCAAACAAGAAATAATAACACAGCGTCAACAATGAAAGCAGTATTTAAAAGCTATTATTTAGTCTCCCTTCTATCTTTCCGTCCCTCTATCACAAAACTAGCAGAAAAAGAGGTGTAGGATGTTTGAGGTAAGCTGGACAAAAGCAGACAAACATTATAGGCAAGAAATTACACTTTGTGGCTGGAATACTTAGAAAGTATACAAAACAGAAGGAATAAAATTTTCAAGAAAATTGAAAGGGACTGCTGCTGGACAGCAACCTGAAAAGGCAGAAGACTCTCGAGTGTGTGACTAAAACAAGTGTCTCACAAACCCTAGATTTAGGGACTCGAGCTCAAAGCCAGCCCTGTCTCACGTGTGGCATAGAATCAGGGAGCAACCTCAGTAAAGGAAACCGTCTGTGGCCAGCGTGGACCATCACGGTGCAGGCAGCCAGAAAGAGTGTCCAGACCAGAGGGCCTGCTCTCATTTTTCTGAGCATGGCTTCAGCATCTTAGATCCTCATCAATTCCAGTAACAAATGGGACCAAATCTTCCCAAACCCAGGCAGAATAGGGGGTAGGGAGCAAATAAAATGTAATTGTGCCAAAAAGACTAAATAATTTGGTACACCTGCATTTATTGATCAAAACTCACACCCACTCTGCATGGGACAATATTGGGGATGACTAGGGAGTCATGCCAGTACACGCCCACATCAAAGGCTGGCTGAACTAGAGCCACAGCGAATCAATTTGCTTGAAGCAAAACCCCTGAGCCTGTTAAGCAACTGGTAATAGAAATGGGTGTGGATCCTTTGAAATGACTTTCAATTTGGGCAATGTATTGTAATGATGCTGAATTCACATAATTCTCCATGCTGTTTTTAAATCCTTAGATAATTACTGAATAGGTGGCAAGAGGAAGAAAGAAAAACTCAGTCTTGTTAGAGTTTGCTGATGGGATTGATTTATCTGTCCTGTCTATGAGAATTTCCAAAAAGGGAGGAACATGGGAGGTAGATTTCCAGACCATATTCTTGGACTATGAATTATAAAAAGAAGACAACAAAATATACAAGACATATTTTCCCTGCAGAGGAAGGCACACACATATTAAGACCTGGTTGGTGAGAGATTAGATGTAAATGCGAAAATTAGAGAAGACATGAAGATTCCTAAATTTTCCTGGATTGGGTTACTGCTAACAAATAGCAGAGTGAAATGGAAGAGAAGCCACTAAAAATGGGGTTTGGCATCAAGGTTTTTGGGGAACATGTTGACCTTGAAGGTTTTATAGGGTGTCCAGAAAGTTATGTCCAGCAAGAAATGGAGAACTCAGTCTAGGACCCAAAAGGCAGGTCCTGCATCACCTTCTTTAGGAAAGTATTAGAGGCAGAAATCTCATGTTGATGACACAGGGCTGGGTGGTGGTATGAGAATATATGACAAAGAAGAAAGAATCTTGTACCAGTTTCAGGGGATCTGATTCACTGAGTGTCCTCACACCCTTTCCTTTCCTTCTCTTTTTTTAAGTTTTGATTGGAAGTTCTCGAAAGGATTGACATGGAACCTTGAAGTTTGTGATGAAAATGCAAGTACTCTTGAGCTCTGTCCTGCTTCTGTTCAAGTTACTGCCTTTAAAAATATCTGTGTCATTTATTAGTGGCCCCATAAAATGACATTTGGGAAGAAAAACATGTTCCATTTCTTAATTAAAAAACAACAGTGAAAAGTTTGAAAACCACAGACCCATGTGCTTGTTCAGGGGGCCACCTGCTCTAACATCCTCTGAGCCATTGTCCTTATTTCTATCTACTGAGAAATGGTCCGTCCATTGGGATGCTTTGCTCTAACTTGGGAAGATCATCCTATTCAGAAAATCTTCTGGAGAGCATTTCTTGTATTATGTAGATTTCAAACATTGATGCAGCCTTGAAATATGGGTGAGGTATAAGTATTCAAATTTCACAATGGTGTAAACTAAAATTATGCAACTCTACCTGAGGGAGAGAGGTAGTATTGGAAAATGGAAAGTATGAGTGAGAGAAACACTCCTTAAAAGACTGGAACAAATGCAGGGCGTTAGTGGTAGGTCATAGCATCTGAAATTAGGAGATCTAGTTTTGGTCAAGATTCTATCACTTGGTAGCTGTCTGCTTTGGGGAATTTGCTTAACTTCTCCAGTCTTTGAGTTTCTCCTTTATGAATTAGCTTTGTTTCAACTCTATCTTCTGAAAAGCTGGTGTGAGGACCACATGAGATAATAGGGATGAAAGTGTTAAGTAACTGGGAGTCATGTGGTCTGTATTATTCAAAAAAATATTGGTTATTTTGGATAGACAGGGGATTGTGTTAAACAGAATATCATGGTTATACTCTTAAGAAGCATGAGACAGTATGCTAAAACCAGAACTTTCATTATAAATGCCCATTTTATTTATTAAATAATGTATCTTAATATAGGAAAAAAGGTATTTTAGGAGAGAAATAAAGGGTTAGGATTTTGTAAAACTAGCTGTCCCCACTCTGACCTATGGGACTAAATAGAATTAATTTAATCTTTCTGAGTTTTGTCCCATCTGCTAAGTAGCAATAATACTGGTCTACATAATTTACCAGTTTAATCATTTAACAAGACTTCATAGAAGTAAAGTATCTTCATACTCTAGAAAAGCAAGGTGTTACAGTGCTCACTATTCACATTATCTACTACTGTACATTTAAAAGAAATGTTCTCCTTGCTTTTACTTTCTGTATTTCAACTTTCTTACATCCAATCTAACCTTTAAAAAAATCATTTAAGTATAACTGGTATATATTATATTAGTTATATTAGTTTCAGGTATGTAATATAGTGATTTGACATTTTCATACCTTACAATATAATCACACCACTAATTTCAATAGTTATCTGTCACCATGCAAACTTATACCCTTTACACATGTCATTTTATGAAGTATCTCTTATTTTTCTGAAAATGTTAGTGATGAATCAGGGGCTGAATTGAGGGATCTCACTGCTAACTTGACACATGTCACTTTAATTTTATTTCTATTGCATCTATGGTTTATTTATTCTCAAATATAACTATGCCATTGTATTTGCTGAGTAATCAAAGGATTATTACGCAAAACACCTTTTGGTAGATGAGTTACAGGGCGTTAAGTGTTCCAACTCTCTATAAATCAAGATAATAAGGAAGCTTTCCTTGACAAATGAAAAAAATGCCCTAGCTTGGGTAAACAGCCAGTCATTAAAAAGGTCAATTTTTAATGAAGGTGGGACTCTGCCCTCATATGTGCACTATATATATCTGTGTGCATTAGGCAGACCATTCTCCCTCTGTCTCTCTCTCTGGACGTGTTGCCTCAGAGCAGCGTATCGTGAGTATCCTTGTTCATCACCATGATGAAGACCATCACTGCTTTTGCCATTCTTGCTCTAGCAGCCACCACATGGGCTGTCTCTCCACTTGGTGAGTTAAGATTCCTTTTAAATACTCATGCCTTTATGTTAACTGCAATGTATTCAGCTCTTAGTAATTACAGAATGCTAAAGTCAGAAGAAAATTTAGAAGGCATTTACTTGGATTGACCTGACTGACAAAGTGGGGATGGGTCAGACTTTCAGGAAGAGGAAGAGAGATGTAAAAGAATAAAAGGATTGCAGGCTCTTCACTCAGTTCCTGATCAGGATCCCTCAGGATTCTGACTTGCCCTTTCAGAAACCACTTACGCAACTGTGAGATCATCATCCAACCCTACCCTAGGCATGCCCACAGGAACTCTTGGATACCCGGGACAGCCCTTCCTCCAACGACCAGAGATGTCCCCAGAGATGTTTCTCCCCAGAGATCATGTACACCTCTGTCTTCACTCTAAGTTGATCCTGAGTAAAGAAGTGACCTCTCCTAGGTCTGGCCTAGGCAAAGGATGTTGGGAAATGGTTTTAGGTACTGTGAACGATGAATTTAGCTTTGCATTTCTAACTGTGGAATTTGCTCTTTCTCCTATGCCTTCTCTCCAACTGCATCTCATTCCACTCTCTTCCGGAAATCAAGCAAGAGGAACACAGGTGAGTACACCCTTCTCTGTGTGGTCTTTGTGAAAATGGAATCAGAGCCAATGTGCCACTGGAGCCAGGGAAGTAGTCAGACTGGCTCCTGTTGGACTGAAGTAATTCCTCAGAGGTTCATATTGTTCCTACTTTTCTTGTCTCTGTGGTATTTCTTTTAAAGGTTGCAAAAGGAATCTCCTTGCAAAATAGAAGCAGCACATAAACTAAATTTTACTTTGGGGTAGTATTTAAACTTTTCTGATTATTTTTCACATTCATTATCCCTTTGGACTTGCATTATAACCCTAAAAGGGAAGATTACTATTTCCTTCTTAAACAGCCAATTCTTATTTTCCTTAAGGAATGTTCTAGGTCTGATTAATTTTTGTAGCACAGCACCTGGTCCATAGAAGATCTTCTAGACATGTTTGCAGAAAATTTGAAGAGGCTAGCACTCTTTCCACTCTCTTCTCTCTCCTTTTCGAAGTGAGAATTACTATAGAATTGAAGAAAATGTAGGGTATCAATTTTTCTTCCAATTTACAGGTGGACTGCTCCCAATACTCGGCAGCAAAAGGCGCCAAGGTTGCATGCTCAAGGATATATAAACCAATGTGTGGCTCAGATGATAAAATTTACAGTAATGAATGCATGTTTTGTATGATGCAACAGTAAGTATGACGTTCAGTTTGGAGCCCTCCCTTCCTTTTAAAGATCACAAAGTCCACATTGGTCAAAATCTGCTTGGCTTTTAAAAACAGTTTGACAAATCCTACCTGTTGTCAATACTCTTTGGGCATTGCTTTGTTAAAATAAAAAAATTAGTTATATCTCTAAGGGTATATATATATCTTTAGCTATACATATGTATATACTCTGTATCTACATATATGTATATATATGTGTGTATATGTATATACCTTATATATATACATATATATAACTATGCAGTGAAATTCCCATTCATATTGTACAGTATCCCTTGGGCACTAGCTGCTAACATGTACACATTTTTGTTTCCACATTACACTGAGGGAGACTGGTCTCAGGCAGAACATGTATCTTGATCAAAGTTATATGAATGCCCTGTGTTATATTATTCTTATTGCATAATAGGAACTCAGAAGACAGCTATCTTTATTTAGGCTGTTAGCCACGGACACTATTACAAGACTTTGATCTCTCTTTCATATCCCAGAGAACTTTCATATTGCTTCTTGTGGCTGCCTGAAAAAGTCTGGGGAAGAGAGTGACCGTACAAATGAGTAGTTGGAACCAGTTGGAATCCCCATCACCACCAGCCCCACACATTAAATATTAACTCCTCACTGGAAACATCTCAGCTTCTCATCTCAGGAGAATGGAAGAATGGTTATTACCAGCCATTCCAGCAATTTGAATTCACTATTTTATGATTAGTGGTTCAAATCATGGGCATGGGTGTCTGACATCTGGGTTAGAATTCAAACTGCATTTAGTAGATCTGTGACTGAAGGCAAATACCTAGTCCACTACACACTTTGGTCTTCTCATCTGTGAGACAGAAATTAGAACAGTGCTTAGAATTCGTTGTGATAAAACATGTCAAATCTTAGCTAAACAGCAGACACCTAGTGAATGTACATAGAAATGAGCTCATTTTTCTTGTCATCATTTGTCTCCTTCTCTCTTTTCTTTTCTCTTTTCTTTTCTTTTCTTTCTTTTCTTTTCTTAGCTGAGTTCTTTTTCTAGCTGTTCTGAAATTTACAGTCAAGTGTAATATCCATTGTTATTCAGAATAAAGTCTCTAGGCTATGCAAACTCATACAGTACTAAAACCATAAGAGTTTAAAGGTCTATGGGTTCTCACTGATTATATTTTCTTATATCCTCTTTTTAAAAGTCAGGGATCTAATACTCAGAAAGGAGAAGTAACTAGAACAAAATTACCACACTGTTAATGCCAGAGATGGATTAGAGCTTATTTCCCTTTTTTTAATTGCAAAAATGTTTCACACTATATCATTCCTTTTTGATCTGAACAGCCATGAACTATTTTTTAAAATGCCCAATCTCCTTTCAGTGTTGATCTATTTTGTTATGTTTCTATTTGCTTGCAAAATGATCACCTATCAAATGTATGGTCAATATTAGCCAACTGGAATAGAATATTAACCAAACTCCTCATTCTTAGTCGCGGTGAGACAACACAGAATGACACATGGCTGTATTTTATTCTGTATTTCCGAAATATCAAGCAGCTGCATTACTCACTCACTAAAACTTTCTCTTCCAGAGAAAGAGGACTTGAACTCAGGAAACTTCATGATGGGGAATGTGTAAGTATAGGCAGGAATTGTATTTATTCTTATGTAAAATGTTACACTAATTCCTTAATTTCATACCGAAAAAGTATTTTAGAGCATGTAATTTAAAATTATTCATGACTATGTATAAAGACATCTGACCAGCCTAAAGAGATGACCTGAAGTATTGGCTGATATATTGACCCAAAGGAAAACTTCAGAAACTTTACTCAGAGCCCTTAATTGGGGCAGGTGGGTGTATATGTGGTTATTTTCTAACACTGCTACTAATTAGCAGGTTAAGAAGAGGATTTCAAAGGAAGTAGGGATTCAAGGCCACCCTCATAATGATAAAGGAAGTTATTTTCTTAAAAGCACACACACAAAAATTCAAGAACAAATATAGAGACAATTTAGGGGTAAAGAGCTATGTGAGTGGATGTCAATGATTAGAATAAACTTTGAAACAATATAAGACTGTAAACATGTAAAAGACAGTTCATTTTAAGAAGGGGCGCCTAACCCAGTTTGATGGGTGAGAGAGAGAAATGTCATCATGAAACTTATCAAAGTAGTTGACCTGACTTTTAAGGAGAAATAGGAGTTAGTTTGATGGATAAAGCAGGTAAGGCCATGTAAAATAGGAAAAACACCATCTGCCCAGGCCCAGGGGTGGTCAGGGGCAGGAAACACCCATGGAACTCAGTCCTGGAATTGCCTAACATGGGAGGCAGAGCAGAAGAGCCTGGAGACATAGGCACAGGTCATGAGGATGCTTTCTGTTGAATGGGGAATGAGTTAAATAAGTGAAGAACAAGATCTAATTTGATTTGTAAAAAAAAATCACTCTGGCCTCAGTGGGGAGGGTGACTGGAGTCTGAGATAATGCATGGAGGCTGGGCAATAAATTGGCAAATTGCAAATGTGTAGGCAAGACCTACTGAGGCCTGAATAAGGTGAATGACAGTATGGTGTGGAGGGAACTAATTTGGATATGAAGTACAAGATAGAATCCACAGGATGTAACTGTCACTCAAAAGTAGAGCATGAGAGAGAGACGGAAGCATTGATCTTGAGCTGAGCTATGCTTTGCTGTGATGATAGGCTCACCATTGTTGGGTCAGATGATGTAAACTGCAGAGAATATGTCTTTTTGCGTATGAGATTTTTGGACTAAATAATCCCTGAGGTATTTAAGCAGTTTTCTTTTTTATGATTTAATGATCTGAAATTGTTATTTCTCTCTTTTTTTCCTTTTCTTTTCTTTTTCTTTTCTTTTTCTTTCTTTTTTGGACATGGACAGATTCAGTGCACCGGGCAATCTTCTTTCTGCACCATGGAGTACAGACCTCACTGTGGATCTGATGGAAAAGTGTATGGCAACAGATGTCTGTTTTGCAACGCTGTGGCGTAAGTGCTGAATTCAATGTATTATTTGCAGAAATAGCCTTTCTCACAGAGCCAGAAACCATCTCAGCTACCGAATAAGCTGAATGCTGTTATGAAGCATAAGAGTGAGATGGTTCACTGATACTCATAATGTTTTACAAGAAGAAGTACGAGGAGGGAAAAAGAGAGGAAAATAGAAAGAAAGTGAATAGTAGGAAGATAGGGAAGATAGAAAAATGAGACTTGTTACACTATTTTGTAGCGACAGATAAAAGAGAAATGTACAGATTTTTGCTGGCTCCTGGCACTGGTTTTTATGAGCACATTGAAATTTTTTTTACTCACCTCGCTGAAGTTTTATGGTTTCGCTCACCTTTCATGCTGTGTTCTTATGGGACTGGTTTGACCTAAAGATATGAAACTTTTATTGAAGGTCTCCAAATGATTTCTCTTGTAGGAAGAGCCGTGGTGCACTCTATTTGGCAAATTACGGATCATGCTGAGTCTCCTGGATGCTCCCGGGCACCGAGTCTCCTTTAGCGGATTCCACATAAAGAGCCAGTTTCTCCGGGTTGGCTCTGGGAGCAAACACATGGGTTTGATTCTTCAATAAAAGAATCCCAGCAAAAAACTGCCTGGCTCATCTCTATGATTCGTAAGGAGAATATCTATGGTCATTTTCCTGAACTATAAGTCACACCGAAATATTTCCTCTACACCTACTGAAGCTGGGAACTGAAGAGATTATGCGCATTCTGATGAGCGAAGAATATGCTCATGCTCATAGCCTCCCATTTTAAAATGACTCAAATTTTTTAGGTAAAGCACGTGTCAGTGGGTGGGTCTCACCTGACCGTTAGTCTTATGTTATCTTTTGCTACACTAATGAAAAGAGGCAAACTCAGATTTGGAGGAAGATAAAGTGAGAATTCACAATACTATCAACTAATCAGAACAGACCAAAAATAACATACATACTTTAGGCGCTACCATTTAAAGGGGACTGAGCGACATATGGGCATCAGCAAAAGATCCTGTTGATCATGTTGGGGAAGAGATTAAAAACAGTATGATCTGATTAAATATTGAAGTCACTACAAAAAAAACTGAGGAAAATACAGGGTAGTTGGGACAGATGGGGAGTCAGACCTGGATTTCTCTGGAGGCCTCGCTGCTGCTCGGAGAAAGCTCTCTCCCGCAGCTCCACAGGGTTCCTCCTCTGTGCCTGTCTGGTTCCTAATCTCCTCTTCTTATAAGATACCAGTCATACAGGATTAAGGGCCAATCAATGACTACATTTAACCTCCAGTTCCTCTTTAAAGATCCTATCTCCAAAAACAGTCACGTTCTGAGGAACTAGAGGGTCGGAATCTGAACTTATGCATTTTGGGGCCTAATTCAACGCATAACAGCAACCAAGACAAAATTGACAAGTAAAGTGAAATCTGATGCCTATATTAGACTAAAAAATCAAACATAACTTATAATTCTATTTTTCATTTAATCAAGTCTTCCTATTTGTGATGTTTGATTTAATAATATGCATATGGTATAAATAAAATAATTTATAATCAGCCCTGGTTGGTGTGGTTCAGTGGATTGAGTGCCAGCCTGTGAACCAGAGGGTCATCAGTTTGATTCCCAGTCAGGGCCCATGCCAGGGTTGCAGCCAGGTCCCCAGTGCGGGGCACATGCAAGGCAACCACACATTGATGTTTCTATCTCTTTCTTCCTCCCTCTCCCTCTGTCTAAAATTTAATAAATAAAATCTTTAAAAAATTATAATCACAGAATACTTTTTATAGGCTTTAAGAAAGTAGAGATTTAAGGTTCATATAAAGCAAAACACTTTCCAAGTCAAAAACAGTAAGCAAAATAAAGATAGCAATTATATGTTGCTAAAGATAGTAATAAAGATGTGGTGTTATTAAGTGAATAGAATAGCTACTCTATTTTTAGAAAAATATTGTTTTAAGTGCTTGGAAAAATGTCTTTAGACAAAAATGGTTTATGTAAATAAACTCACTTTTTAAATGTATAGATTAAAAAGAAAATTATGTAATTATTGCATAATTATATACATTTAAAACATAATTTATATAAGTAAGCTTACTCTATAATATATAATATAAATTAATTGATACATTTTAGATATACAAATATATAAATAAAGTATATTTAAATATAGTACATATAAGTTATCATTGCAAACATTCATCTGCTGAGATAACAAATCTAGAGAGGAAGAAAAGACAAATTTTAGGCACATTATTAAAATATAAAGCCATATAGGCATAAATAAAAATTTAAAACATTAAGACAGTCAATAGTCTCTAAACTTTTGAGCCTATAATTTGGGTTTGTACTCTTTTTTAAGAAAATACTTTTCTCATTATTGAAAATACATGTGTGTAAAATGTATGCAAATACTCCCTTTTAAATATCTCCTTCTTGCAAAAACATCCTCTAAATTGTTGAAATATACTTATTAACAATATCTAAAATCAACTTTTATTGGATTAACCTTCAGCACATTAGTAATCTCTATTGGATTCATCTTGAACACACTTACAGACCCATTAGTAATCTACTGTGTGCCAAGGACCACCCACAGTCAAGGGCGCTCTGTGGGGGTGCTGCAATCTTCCATAAATTCATTGATCTCTACACCTCTTGTGGACATATATGCATCAGCTACTATTTTGCAGGGGAGTGAGCACATGGAAAAGCTCACTTGCTAGTTGGCTTGATCTCTGACCATGTAAAGGACGGGTCAGTAATTCTGTTACCCAAATCAAAGCTCAAGAACAGGGCAGGATGTTAGCCCTCTATCTGGAGTATCATTTGCAAATACGTTGCCTATTTGGGTGGCTGCTTTTATATTTTGTTGATAGTTTCTTTTGCTTTACAGAAGCTTTTTTAATTTGATGTAGTCCCACCCATTTATTTTTATTTTTGTTTCCCTGGCCTTGGGGTCAAATTCACGAAAACATCTTTGAGACCAATGTTCACAAGTAAGTGGATACAGGGAGTCAGATATATGCTATTAGAAAGAAACGAGAATTTGGGTGGTGAGCATGCAATAGAGCATACAGATGTCTAATTATAATGGTGTATACCTGAAAACGATACATTGCTATAAACCAATGTTACCCCAATAAAGTTAAAAAATTAAAAAAAAAAACACACAGCAAGACAATATGCAGATATGGTTGATGCTGTCCCTGCATCAACTTGTATACAATCCCTGAGAAGGGAAAGACTTTATCCTACATCCTGGGGTAGGACTGATCATTTGTGTGGTGGCTCTTAGGTGATGGAGAAACAGCTTCGGGGAGCTAAAGGAGGGAATGCACAGGACTGGGGTGGAGATGGTCAAAGAGAGGGCTGGACTGTGAAAGTGCTGCAGGCAGGCAGTGGAGGCGGGACTGTCTTTTCTGCCAGAGAACAATGGAAACTTAGCTTAAATCCTTTGAAAGATTTTGGCATCCCTGAAAAGTGATGAGAATCTGCTTTAGACTAGAATGGGAAGATGGTTTTGGAAAATGTTGGTTTGAAGTGATATTGTAACATATCAACTAATTTTTTTTTTTTTTTTTTTGTAGCTAGGGATAGGAGCCTTACATCTAGGATCAAAGCCCCAAGTTGTAACTTTTGGAATCAAGCTGTGGGCGTAATCGGTAGACCAACAGTTCCCTCAGGAACCTGTGATCCCCTAATTTTACTTATTCTCCTGTCCCAATATTAGTTCAACTGCAATTGGGGGAGTTTGGAAAAGCTAAAGATATGTTAGCCATATTTCTTTCCTATGATGTTTACAGACATGTCTGTTATTTTTGCACATATTAAATAGAACTACATGGTGATAATATGCAATTCCTTTTATGGTAAGACATTTTGCTTCTCTTTTGCCTATACTGAATTCATGGAGTTTATTGTTCAACTTTCCCTTCATAAAAATTTATTTATTTAATTAGAGGGGAAGGGAGGGAAAGAGACATCAATGTAAGAGAGAAACACCAATCGGTTGCTTCCCATAAACTCCCCAACCTGGAAACAAATGAGCAACCCACGTATGTGCCCTGACTGGGAATCAAGCTTGTGAGTGACCCTTTGCCTTGCCGAACGTTGCCCAACCCACTAAGCCACGCCAGTCTGGGCTATTGTTTGACTTTTTGATGCTAAGGTAGGTGAGAAACACAGGGTCCTTGATTAATACGTGAATGCCACAAGATTCAGAAAACTTAAATACTGGAAACTCCTTCCTCAAGTCTGCCTTCCATGGGTAATTATTGGTTTAATGATTTTTCCCCTTGTGGGTATAATCTCCATTAGGGCACGGAGGGGGTGAGTCCTTTTCCCTGCTGTGTTTCCATCCAGTGTTGCACACGACTCCTGACAAATCAGAATTCAAGACCATAGAAGGCCTATGGGAACACGCTTAACCAGTGATGCCCTGCTAATAAAATGTGACAAAGCAAAGCAAAAAAAAAAGTAAGTAACTTTTTCTCTGGTGGAAAGCAATTTCACACTCATTATTCCTTTGAATATTATGTAATGTTCTGAATCTGGGGCTCTGAGCCAACAAGGCCCATGTCAGTTGCTGTGGCAAAGAAAGATTCAAAATAAATAGCATTTATTGGTGAGTAATCTGGGTCAGGCAGCTTTCCAAGCTGTTTAAACATGAGCCCTGCCCAGGGAGTTCAGTTGGTTGGAGTGTTGTCCTGATACACCAAGATCGTGGGTCTTGGTTTTAGACATTTATTAAAATGAAATAATAAGAGCTAAATTAACTGAGGTAAATAAAAATGTGTTGATTCCAGCATTGTTAATAATAATGAAAATTGGAATTAATCTAACTGAGCAACAATGGAGGAATATTAATATAATATAGTCCATATATGTGATGAAACATGGCATGAAGCATCTAAATTCATGTTTGATGACTATATTTAAAGATCAAGAAAACATTACATTTCTAAGTGTAAAACACAGAAAACAATGTGTACTACAAAAAATGTGTTGAATATGACAATAAGAACACACATATGTGTTCATGAGCGTGTGCAAATATATATATATATTTCTTTTAAACTGGAATTATATTATTCAATATATGCTTAACAGTTATCTCTGGGCTTTGAGATTTCACATCTTCATGTTTCCTTTATTTTCCTATTTTTTAAAGTTACCATGTATTTCCTTGGTGCAAGAACAACTGTTCTTTACAGAAAGGAAGACAGAAGCAGGGAGTGCAGGCAACAGGGGGAAACTCAGCTGTGAAAACATCTGTCCCCTGGTGCACAGCTGCAAAGGCTCTGGACTGATATAGGGACAAAGCCGGACCCGCTGCCAAAGGCCTTCATCACTTCACCCATCACTGCGACCTCCTCTCTTCCTCAGCTGTTTCCACATTTTGCATTCTGGCCCAAGGTACTAATTATCACTGAGGAACATGCTATGCTTTTTCTGCTGTGCTCCTGCCTGCTGTGGTATGTCTCCTCATGCCCGTTTCCTCTTTGGAATGCCCGCCACAGGCTACTCCGTGCACCCCCAAGTCTTCCAGGCAGTTCTGTGCTTTCTTCCCCTGTGCCCCCTGCTGAGGTTGGCGGGACAGGATCTGAATGTGGGGCCTCCCGAGGTCCACTCAGTCCGGCACACAACGCCTCAGTGCTCTCCTCCCACGCAGCTACTCTGCCCCCTCCCAAGGCCCTAAAAGGTGCTCCTTAAGTGAGAGTCACCAGCCACAAAAGCCACAAAAGCATGTCACATCTCCCTTCCTTTTCTTTCTGAGGTGCGTCCACTGGGGCATATATGAGAGGGGGCGTGGGCATCCGGCATCGTGTGTTAGTGCAGTCGGATCTTCCACTGTTGCTGCTCCGTTCCCGAAGGAGTCCGGGGAAGGTGTCAGGAGGACATGGGGGTGCACCTAACAAAAATGTGGTGTCCTACATTGACTCAGGAGCAGGCAGGGTAGGCAGCTCTTCCAACCATCCCGGGGAGCGGAGTGCTGAGGAGGCATTGCAGCACAGCAGCGAAGGTTGATGTAAATCCCCTGTTGCCATATGCTACAGAGCAGAGGTAAAGGCCTAAAGGACACAGGGAGGACTAGGGAGACGGGAGAGTTCAGTGTGGTCCTGGATCTGGCTCTGGGACCTGCATACACCGTTCTCCAGGGTTGGAAAGGCTGCTGCAGGGAAGATTTGCTCACTGATGACTGCCTCCCTTTCTGTGTCTGGGTGAAGATGGCTTTGGGGCCCCTGTGAGGTGATAGGAAATGGTTTTTCTCCCTATGGACTTTCTGAGAATGCCCCAAGAGAGTCTAGCATTACCAGTCAGAAGATTCCCAGAATGACCAAGTATGCCTGGAATACTATGAGACATCTTTGTCTTAATCCAAAGAGACAGTCTCTGTTTCATGAACAAGTACAGACTCTCTTCCTCAGTTGAGAAGCACTTATTGTCTAGAAGCTCCAAGTAGCCTCATCATGTTCTCCGTAGATTCTTCAAAGAAAGAAAGAAAGAAAGA